TGTATTAATCGCGTACTTGTCGTACACTGGTTGTAGCTGCCGCAGGTTCGTTCACCGATGATTCGGGGAGGTGAGGTAGGTAGATGCGCATTGGAGACTGGAACTGATAAATTGGTGCGTAAATACAGCACTGTAGGTGAACTGTTAAAAGCAACAGCTTGGACGCATGAACGACACTGAGGGACTGACTGGGCCATGTCTGACAATGTCTCTAACCATTGATATGGCCCGTCTCGGGGTTCTCATCCAGGAAGACGTCAATAACCAGCGCAGCTGAGTTTGCTGGTAATGGCTTCGAAAACCAACTTGAGGTTGACCGAAGGGAAACTCGGTACCGCGCCTACCTGATGAGCTCTAAGAATGACGAAACCGGTAGTGGACTGTCAAAGATTATTTAACAACCTCAAGAGTAGTTTCCTTCATGAAATTGTACGTATATCCTAAGTTCCTGTTAAGTTACTTTCACCACTCACAGACGTAGAATAACCAACAGTTATGGGTAACAGAGTAGGAAACAACGAGCTTAGTTCATCTGAAGAGTTCTTCGTCGCAAGCTGTTTCATCCCGCTCCAAAATTTTGCGAACCCGGCTTGTCTGTGAGATCAATTTTAGACGTCGTCAAACTCTAACCGTCAAATTGCCCGCTTGCACCCATCCGAAATGTCTGAAGTATTCCTCCGAAAGATGCCAGACGATTTCTATCAATGTCGGTTCCATTGTCTTACCAAGTTAAACAGCCAAATAATTGTGGGCTTCCCTCCCAAGACTAGCTAGTACTTTGTGGTCCACTGGAATAGTTCGCTTTGAAATTTAAGGGACTGTCTATGGGCAAGTATACAAAGTCATAATATGTAATCTGTTAGGTTAAATCTAACGAGCAAACATAGAAACTAATCTATGTTTGTCTATTTTGAGTATATCTCGACGACATTTCGATTTCTACCTTCAATCGGCAGTTCGGTATGCTTTTTTGATATTCCAAGCACCATTCACCTGGAAGTGTGACAAACTCAGTTTAGCTTTCCTTGACACACTGGTCATCTGACGTCCAGATGGGAGCTGATAACATACTGTTTGTCGTAAGGCTACGTGGAGTGGTCGATATCTTCAATTCAGTAGCTCCTTTACGATGAAGTAGTCAAAGCGCCCCTATTCCACAGATCTAGACTTATCTGTACAGTCGACCAGCTACCTAATTGAGAAGACTCACGGATAGGGACTCTGTTAGCCAGTGGCTAACCGCAAAAGTTCACCAAAGTGAACCCAATTTTCCACCCAGTCTGACCACCACAGTTAGGTAATAACCAAGGAGATAGTGATGTTGATAGTTTGTGGAGGTTTAAGGATTTTAATGGATCCACGTGACTTGTAGGGTTTGTCCCATTTGTGAGCCATGCAGCATGGACTAACTATGGTATAAAGAATCTCATTTGACCCATCACTTGATCGTCACATCCACCAGGAGTAGAAAAATATCCATGGATCGCTTTGTTTTCCAGAATCGGGGATTTGAACCAAAAAGGCGACACTGACAGACACTGACAGTGATTGTCAAATGTGTGTGTGTGTGTAAGATATTTGAGAATCTAATAAACTGTTCGGCAATCAGGTCAGAATCATTGCACTGAAGCAAGTTCACCGACACTGGCTTGCCGTCATCAAACCTAGATAGTTCGATGTTATTGTTCAATTTACTCATGGTCGGTCAAAGACTACTAAACTAATCACAGGACACAGTGCTGTGCGTACCTGAAAAGCTACTGTATGCAATTAATTGGTTTTCGCCAATCGTTTTACATCTTACTAACGACATTTATGAATTCCACCCTAGAATGTTACCGTCTTATATTCTGAACGTAACGAATCTCAAGAGGAGATCGACTCCAGACTGGAGTGGTGAGGAGTGTACTGGGGCCACGGGTGACCGATCCGCAGTATTGCTAACGCTTAGGTACACCCCATATAACGCCATGGATTCGTTCAAGTATGTGTACGTACGCTCTGCCGTCACGAGGAGACTGGACCTTACCGTGGTGTGAGGGTTTGCGCACCTCAGCGACACATTGAGCTGTACTGGAGAGGTGTCCCCGCGAAGCTCACAGAGTATCTCATACCAGGTTGGTC